GGAGCCCGATGCGGGACTCGATCCCGGGACTCCAGGATCATGACCTGAGCCGAAGGCAGTCGCTTAACCAACTGAGCCACCCAGGCGCCCGTGAAATCTGCATTTTTAATAAGCATTCCCAAGGGATTCTGACTATATATCTACAAAATAAGTAAGTGTCTGGAGGCTAGTGTTTCATTAACAGTCTTGGCAGGTCAGGTTTTAGCACCAGTCAGTAATGTCCAATCAGTGCCAAGTTCTATCAGCTCAAGACCCACCAGAAGCCCCAGTTCTCCCACATCCAATCTCACATTCATCCCTTTTGCACCTGCATCCAGCTCTGCACCCTACTTTAGCCTAGCTCCTGGTGGCCCTCCTGCCAGTACCACCCCACCCAAAAATAATTGGTTTAGAAGTCAATACAGTGGGCTGCCTAGGTGGCTCAGTCAGTTGAGTGTCTGCTTTGGGCTCAGGTCAGATCCCAGGGCCCTGGGATCGAGCCCTGCATTGGGTTCCTTGCTCCACGGGGAGCCTGCTTCTCCCCCTCCCTCTGCCTCCAGCACCCTCTGCTTGTGCTCTCTCTCTCTCTCTGTCAAATAAATAAATAAAATCTAAAACAAAAAACAAAAAAAGAAGTCAATACAAGCATTCAAAAGAAAAGACAAGGATGGCTTACCATCTTTACTTCCTGACGGACTTTCTTTAGCCATTTCAAGATCTTTTACTTCAAAATTGGTCAAGACAAAGCCACCTGCTTCTTGGAAATCCCGGGCAAATGACAAAGCCACCTGCCGATAGTCCACAATGCCAGTGTATGGGCAATCAATAGCCATTAGACCCTGGGATAGGATTATGAAATAGTCAAGATCATACAACTAAAAATAATCGAGGATAGGCTGTTCAATAAATTTTATTTGGGGCTGAATTTTTTTACTGTTAATTTTGATGATTTCATACATTATCATTTCTTGGCAAAAATTCAGTGCCTAAATCTGATGTTGAATAATATGTCTAACAAATAAAAGAAATAATACTAGCTAAATAAGAAAATCTCTTGTACTCAGGAAATAATTCTCCTCTGTAGGGGAGTTAATTTTGCTGGGTTCTTCTGGCTGCTACAATGAGTTTTTCAGTTTTATTCATCCCTCACCATACCTGATTCTGAGTCAAATTCTGTATCACCAAATGATTGTTTTTATTTTTTTTTAAGATTTTATTTATTTATTTGACAGAAAGAGACACAGCGAGAGAAGGAACAGAAGCAGGGGGAGTGGGAGAGGGAGAAGCAGGCTTCCC